TCCATAGTTTGCAAAATCTGCAGCAGCTTTTTGTCCTTAATATCCGGGAAGGCCTTCTTCATGCAGTACTCGAACTCTGCATTGCTCAATTTCTCATCGCCGTCCATGTTCCACAGGCGCCACACCGCCTTTGTCGGGACGATGTTCTCCTCAGCCGCCTCCGGGTCTCACCCCACTTCGACCCACCGACCAACCCCGCACTCTACTAGTGTGGAATAGTAGAGTAAAGGAGAGCATCACATAGAGAGATTATATGAAGAACTTATAAACTTATGGAGCACTAGCACAGTGCAATAGAGTAGTAGAGTAAAGCAGAGTATCACACAGAGCCTATATAAAGAACTTATTGTAGGGAATAGTGAAGGAGAGTATCACACCGAGCCTATATCAAGAGCTTATTATAGGCTTATAGAGGAGCCTAGAGCGGTACGGTACAATGGCATAGCCAAAAGTCCAGACCCCAGGTTTCTGAAACACTGCGCCAATGCAATGATTTGGAGAAGGGTGCCGCCCGTGTCCTCAAACCCTGCCTGCTCACTTTAACCGCACGCAGGCATCCTTGTTGGGCCTCCCCACAACCTCCACCCCCTTCCAACATGCCCCATATGGGCGTTTTTTAGGGGACCCCAATATAGCACCCTAAATAGTAGGATCCTTATTATGAGGGCCCCAAACTAAGGTACCCCTAGTTTTCGGAAACTCGCATACCAGACCCCATGCCCTGGTTTCTTCTCCACGTCCTTCCTCGCCTATCCCCGGCTCTTCTCCACATCGCTATATCCCAGCATTCAAGTACGGAGGGGTAAGGTTGGATCTGGTGGCAGGTGGCCCAAAAAGGCAGTTCTGGCTTGCAGGAGTCGGAAGGGTCAGTCGGGTTCCTGCTTCAAATCATTCTTGGACAGGTCTCACTTTGCTGGACTTGCCTTCGGTGGAGCGGGTTTGGGTCCGTGGTGGTTTGGTTCGCAGTGCTACTGCTCACAAGGTTCGTGGAAGTGTTCTTGCGGCATGGATGGTGCCAATTGGCACTGCAATGGGTATATGGTTGGGGCAGGTTCCGGGAGTGTGAGATTCGCGGCTTTGGGCTTAGTTCACATTCTTGACCCGGGAAGGTGATGGGCTGCTTGGGTTTGGTTTCGGCTCGTGATATGTAGGCCACGGTTGGGCCTTGGTTCGTTTTGGGCCCTCTTGGGTTGGGCATCGTGTATATAGGGCAGGCTTGGGTAGAACGAGTTGATCATGCTGGGAAGGAGCGGTGGTGGGGGTAGCTGGATTCCAGTCGGTAGGCCAGGGTGCTAAGAGCGGTGCTTTAATGTGTTTGTGGTTCGCTGACAGCACAGCAAAACTTCCAGGCTTAAGTAGAGCAAAGTCAGGGCCAAGCTATTTCGCGTCGGTGTGGTATGCTTTGGTGGGGCTGCTTCCACAAGGTGGATGGTCACCTGCAGTGTCGCGGCGAGGTGCACAAACATAGCAGCATCTGCTAGCAAGGGACTGCTGGAGGTCATTGCCGTGATGAGGATTGCCATCGACATTTGTTACTTACTCAAACAGTGAACTTAAGTCACCCCTCACGGTGCCTGATTGCAGCATCCGGGGAGATCGGCTATCTTTCCGACCTCCTGTTGGCGTCGGGACAACCAAGCCACAAAGTTTGTGAAGGTGACGACTCCATATCCGTCACCGCAAGCATCGATGTAGGCCTTGTCGACGGCAGATTGCTCTATGCCAAAGTATGCCCTGCGGATCATCAAAGTGAACTCTGCCTTCAACAGCTGATCGTCACGATCCCTGTCCGCCATCATGAAGCTGGCCTGTAGGACCTTGTGCCTCAGTTTTTCAAGGACCTCTGGCGTCACCTTCGACTTTGGGAGTTCACCAGAAGTTTGCGGTGATGACCACGTCTTTGCCAGTAGGGAGCACCGGGTACCCGTCCCCAGTAGCTTCTTCCCACCTTCCACAACTTTGGCACCTTTGAAATACCCCATCCAGCTCGAAAGGTTGTGTCTCCCTTAGTGTGTGACCCCCAAACCTTAGTCGCTTCGTACCCTAAACCCTACAGAATCCCTAGCCTCAAAGCCTAAACCCCCAACGCCCTTGAACCCTAAACCCCCAGGCCCGATCCAGCGCGGTCTCTTGAGCCCAAACTCAACACCAACACGAGCCTAAATTGCTCGTAAGCAACTTGCCCAAGCCCCGGACAGACAAGACCCAAATACGCACAACAATCTGTCCTACAATTTCTGCTGTTTAGCTCTAGTGTCGAAGCTAGCACCTCCACAGCTACAATTGTTTACAGGCTGTTTGAAATCCTGGTATACGGCATAGTTTCATGGAGGTTACTCACAAACACTGCAGCAGAACCTGCGTGTCTTTACAGCGAACCCTAAATCCCAAGCCCTATAAATCCTATGCCCTAGCTCAACCTAACAGAACCTACTTTTTGTAGGGTCCCTATAAATCCCATATTCGGGTTTATAATAAGAACCTACAAAAAAGTAGGGTTTAGTAGGTCTAGGTATATTCCAAAGCCCCGAGGTATAGCCGAATATTGGTTTGCCAACTCCGAGGGAAGCCGAGGGCTGAGAGTTCAGGGACGGCGGGGACTTTGGGGTTTAAGCTCTCGCAACTCGGGGGTTTGGGGTGCTATAAAAGGGATCCTATTACTCAGGGCACTAGATTAGGGTCCCCTATGTTCATAAGGTTTTTATACTTGTTACGGGGTCTAGGCTTTAGGAGTTCGGGTGTTTGCAGCTTCAGGGGTTTAGGGCTCAGGGAAATGTCTGTATGTCGATAGGCGCAGTCTCTACTGTGCCCTTCTGTGCACGTCCCTCAACCGTCCTGCGCACCGAACGTGACCCCGAAAGTTGCAAGTCCTCATATTGGACTTAGTTTAATCTGAACAAAATAGGGGCCTTAATAATTTGAATAGGGCTTTGGAGCCCATTATACTATACTTGTAATTAGGAACCCCCAAGATAGTATCGGTAATCATTTAATTTGATGTGAAACCCTGCGCAAGTCAGACGAACTGCGGGCTGCCAGCAATTGAATCTGCTGCATGCATGAAATCTCTTCGGTACTGCCCCCATACATTAACAGTCTACAACAGGGCTACTATGAAGGGCCTAATATATCTATACTATAGAGATTAGTCAACTGTTACTGAGTGGGGTCAAAGCCAAAGACATCTTCAAAATGCCAAGCCAAACTCTCTCAACCTCTCTCAAATAAAATCCTCTTTGAAGCCGGCCAAAACCAGGCCCTAAAACCTAGGCCATATATCTACCCCAGACCCCAAACGCACCGCCCCTCTAAAAGTCAGAGACTCAGGAGCAAACCCGGGCCAGGTGGGCCTCCGCAGAATTATTGCAATATACTTCAAACTTTAAGCTTTAAGACTCTATTGAGGCTTCGGGGCTTAAGGTTCAAGGGCAAACATTGCAGGCTTCCGGATTCGCGGCTTACAGTCGATTCATAGGGATTTAGGCTTTGGAGCTTCAGCACAGTTTTCAAAGGGCGAAGCATTGATGGGCTCAAGATAAAGATGCTTGAATATCGCCTTTTGCTTTTGTGTTGTCGCCGCTTCTGAAAACACGAGTAGCAAAGAACATCCGTGTTTGTCCGCCCCCCTCCCCCTCCGCACATCAGACTGAAAGCTCAGCAGGAAATCTTCCCTATCTAAGCCGGGGCTCTCCAATAGCCTCGTTTGAACCAACAAATCGTGAACACCAGCGACAGCCCCAGATGTCCTTAAACCCTCGGGGCTGGTGATGTAAGAACCCGATTAAGAAACCTTGGGTCTTTATTCGGGTTCTATGAGGGTTCCTTTACAGGATACTATAAGGGTTGTGGGGTTTAATGTACAAGTCTGATTGAGAAACCTTGGGTCTTTATTAGGGTTCCTTATGCTATATATGAATCCTCGTACATTCGCGTTGTAGGGCCAGGGCTTCTTATCAGGCTCCTACAGCATCTTTTCTCTGGTCGCTTGGTCCAGTGGCTGGCGCTGGACGTTGTGTAAACACACACACGCACACAAACGTAATACGCACATACGTACACATACATGTACAAACATACTGCATATATAATGTGTGTGTGCCTGTACAGTATGTATCAAAGGGTAAAAGGAGGGACCCCTAATAAGGACCCCTAGGTATATACCCATAATATAGCCATTATATACCCATTATATATAGCCCATTATAGGATAGGGGTCCCCATGAAGGGTCCCTCGTTTTCCCCTTTGATATTAAGGCCCTCATATCAACCTTAAAACCCGAACCCCGAGACGACACCTTTCTACGAAGCTGGCGGAAGTTACCCCAAGGGGCAAAGGAGGGACCCCTACCCGATAATGGGATATATCATGGGTATATAACAGCTATCTTAAGGGTATATACCTAGGGGTCCTTATTAAGGGTCCCTCCTTTTACCTTACGTACACGCAGGTATGTATGCCTGTGTGTGTACCTATTTTTCTAATTATTTAAGTAGGTATGTACGTGTTGGGTCTAAATAGGATTTCGGGTGTAGGGTTTTGTAAGTACGAAGCCACCTACAAACCCTGCAGCAACAAAACAAGTCCCTCAAGCAAACGCTCCAAAGCCCTGCAGGTCAGCTTCCAATATTACCATAAGTGCTACGTTTATGTAGCTTCCTAGTCATTGCAACAACCAGCGTTGATGACACTCTGCTGAGCCAGTTCTGTTCGCACGAGTTGGCTGACCTTGCACAGAAATCTTGAAAACAAAGGGCGCCAGGCTTACTATGCAAGGCTTGGCAACTCCCCAACCTGTAGAAAACTGCGAGAGCATTCTTTGCCATTTTCCCGTGCAAGCGATCAGAAGTGTCTTAAAGCTCACCTTCGCAGCATGAACCGCACCAAAAAAAGAAAACAGTCCTACCTGAACCCTAAAAGACCCCTTAACCCCTAACCCTAAGTCCCTAAAATAAATCTCTATACTCTTAACATTATAAACCCTGACTCCCAGTGGGCCGCGTCAGAGGGAGCTCGCACTCAGAGCCCCGGCTTCTGCTTCCGGGAGGAACTCCTGAGAGGATTTCATGGCTCCTTCGAGGGTACAATGAGGTTCTGTAATCGGGGTCCCTTTAAAGGGTTCCCTTAAGGGCTCCTTCAAGGGTACTATGCGGTTCTGTAATCGGGTTCCTTTTGAAGGGCTCCCTTAAGGGCTCCTGAAAGGGTTCCGAATGAAGGAGTTTACGGAGTTCCAAACCCCCCGGTGAAATACACTACTGAGTCGAAGATTTCCCCTTTAAACCCTAAACCCCAAGCCCTGAACACTGAACCCTGAACCGTAGACCCTGAAGCCGGAACCCTAAACCCTAAAACATACACCATAAGCCCTAAACCCTAAACCCTAGGAGCTTCAGGCTCTGAAGCTCAGTGCTGTGTAATAACCAAGAAAAGCATGGACCACAGAGTCAACAACAAACAGCAGTTGTATACCCTTCCCATCACGTATAGTCTTTTGTTCTAGTAGCCCCCAAAGCACTAGTCTAATTACCCCGCCACTACATGAAACGCTTTTTCATCCATTTCCCGTCTGTACAGACCAGCGAGACCCCTCTACCCTAAACCGACATCTCAACCGAAGGATGCGGCGGCATCGCCTCCACCAGCTGAAGCAGCCAACGGATCCTGAAATTTCAACGCTCACACTCGCACAAGGCAGGCAAGGCTCCACATCCTGGGATTTAGGGCTAGAGCTGGCTAGAGCCAGAGCTATAGTATGCTCAGAGTATGCTATAGTAAGGGGCTCTTAATTCACAAACAGAGCAGGTTTTCTACACGGGTGCTTAAAAGGGTTCTTGATGCGAAGATGGTGTACACGTGTTTTACATGGGCTACAAGGGGATACGATGGGATACTATTAGATCATTATCCAGACCATGCCAGACGCCATGTTCACTTCACCCGCAGCCTCGGGTTTCGGTATGCTTCGCCGTCTATCAAGGGAGGAACGTTGAATTAATTTATGCTGGTCGGGTGGAGACTCGGCCCTGCCGTGACACTATGAAGAGCCCGCTCTTCACATAAGATTTCGGATTGAGCGGATCCAGACTGACTTGGCGAAACGCTGTTCGAAGCCACGCACTTCAAGCTGACCACATGTACTCCAGAAATCTCCAAACGCTGTTCTCTTTTAGCGAGGCACGCCGCCTTACCGTTAAACTGTTAAACCCCCATGCACAAACTCGACACTCGTCGCTCCTTGGAGAGTGCCGACGGAAAAGGCCCAAGTTCACCTGGGATCCCAGGTGAGATCAACGCTTGGGGTATTGAAACTTCGTGGGTGGAGTTGGGGACTCAGAAAACTGGATAAACAGCGCAACCAGGGCTCGTTGTTCCGAATCCGGTCTGGGGCTTTCTTAAGCACTTTGATGTCCCACTCCCAAGATAGCGCACTTATGTGGGTGTGCACAGAAGAGAACCAAAACCATTAGCAACATAGCCAGTGCATGCCGGGATACATCCACCTTCTCCGCACGTTGTCGAAATTTCTCTGGCGTGTCTCCCACGAGCCGATAGGCAAAAACCTCAGACCGAACCAAAACTCATTACGTTCTGCAGGTTTTTGTAAGGATCCTCGGACCTACACCCCGAATCCAGAATTTTCATACCATCCTGAATACAGCTAGGGCAGCTAGGGGTGCATCATGCTTTGAATATGTAGGTCTTCGGAATGAAATGCGCAGCTCGTGCCCTCGAAAGTTGTGGAAATCACATTGGTAGAGCAGGAACACACCATCACGCACTATTACACACAGACACACATAAACACTCGGAAACAGAAGCACACACACGCACACATGGCCAAACAGACACTCACACACACAAACACACACAAGACGTTCTCTTGATCATCGAACAAGCATATTTTCCACAGTGGCACGCTCTCCGACGATGAAGGATTACAATATAGCATATGTTGAGCACGTGAACGTGCTGATGTGTGCAGACATGGATGTGTGCGGACGTAAGTAACGTCGAAATCAATAAACAGATGCATAGAGCTGCACAGATTGTCTACCGATACATACACGCACATCTAATATTACATAGATTGCTTAGACAACGCAGTACAGGCATGTATGATGCAGGGCTGCCACCCCCCTCCCCCTCCCCCCCCCCCCATGGTATCCCCCCCTTCCCTCCCCTGTGGTGTGAGGTCCCCCCGCCCCGCTGTGGTGTGGGCCCTGTGCTGTGGTGCTTTTCCCCCCCCGCCGCCCCTGCGGTATCCCCCCCCTCCCCTCCCCTGTGGTGTGGGGTCCCCCCGCCCCCCCCCCCTGTGGTGTGGGCCCTGTGGTGCAGTATCCGGTGGTGCTCTGCATGATCATCATCATGAACATGAACATGATGGTCCCCCTGCCCCGTGGTGTGGTGTGGTGTGGTTCGGGGTTTGGGATGGTTTGGGTCTGCGTGGGGTGCCTCCCCCCCCCTGTGGTGTGGTGTGGTGTGGTTCGGGGTTTCGGTCTGCTTGGGGTGCTTTGTATAATCATCAGCATCACCATCATCATCATCATCATCATGATCATCATCATGAAAATGATGGTCCCCCTGCTCCCCCCCTGTGATGTGGCGTGGTTTTGGGTTTTGGTCTGCGTGGGGTGCCTCCCCCTGGGTCTGCGTGGGGTGCCTCCCTCCCGGTGCCGGTGTGGCGTGCTTCGGGGTTTGGGCCTGCTTGGGCTGTTTGGTATAATAATCATCATCACTACCATCACCATCATCACCATCACCATCATCACCATCATCAAGATCATGAACATGATCATCATGATCATCATCATGTCGTTCCTTTCTGTTTATTTATCTTGTGTCACACTGGCAATCTTCCTGACAATTGGGCACAGAGATCGGGCCTGTCAGGGACGCGGTCCTGTTCACAGTTGCCTGGGTTCGGACGGAAGGTGTCCACTGTCACAAGGATCGGGCGTGTTTGGAACGCGATCCTCGTGACAGTTACCGGTTTTGGTGCCTTCATGTGGGAGACGTGCACGGTGAGGGGCGCCATCCTCGTGACAGTTGACGGTTTTGGAGCCTTTACGTGGGAGTCACAGAAAAGGGCTCCGGGGGGGGGGGGATACCATGGGGGGGGGGGGGGGGGGGGGGGGGCCCGGGACCCGAGAGCATGTATGTGTGTGACACCTGTCAAAGCTCCTTCCGAGACACCTTTTTGTAGCTATAGCCACTTATTACTAATGACCATATGGCTGCTTTGAAGTGAACCGCAGTTGCCTTTACCACTATACCTGCGATGCAGCTTTTACAGAGAACCTGTTTTAGTCAAGTTGTCAGATTGCGACCGACTTTCTCTGTGGTCTGGCTGTTATTCAACACAGTCTACTAACAAGAGTCATCTTTTTTGGCGAAGCCAAGCCGTCGACCCTACGGCACAAACGCATGCTTGGAAGCAAAGCAGCATTTTTTGGACAATCTGAAAAGCGATGGTAGCTAAATTTGCCATCGCCGGCTGATTGAGGATCTTTGGTGGTGAGCTTGCAGCATGCAGACTCCCACAGCGGCGCTGTACACATCATTTCTATACTGAGGGTTCGTAATGCCTGTTAAGGTACCGATGAACATTTGGTAGCACTCACAACTCTTTGCCAAGGTGCAGTGCCATGAATATCTGGGGCATCACGCTTTATCACCGAGGGAGATAGGCAAAAACGCCTCAAGAGTTCCACGAAATCTTTCCGCGAAGAGGGGTCGCTGGGGATGTTGTCGTTCGGTCGAAATCATCCGACATCCTCCGACATTGGATTATGCTGTGCCGATGGCATAGCAACCGCGGTCCGTTCTACACTTCTGAAAACCAGATAAACGGGTCATTTTCCTCCAGCAGCTTGCAACGGCCCGGATGGCCTGCCAGAATGACGTTGTGTGGGTGGTGGTGGGGGGGGTGGGCGCCGCTTCAGCTGATGTTCTGCAACAGAGTTTGTAGAAAATGTCTGTATATATATATAAATATTATATAACATATACATATGTACATACCTCCGCGTATGTAAGCGCAGGCTCATGTGATGCAAATGCAGTTGTACATGAATATGCGCATGCTTTCCGTAAATGCTGATGTGTATGCAAGGCGCATGTGTACATACCTCCGCGTATGTAAGTGCAGGCTCATGTGATGCAAATGCAGATGTAAATGAATATGTGTATGCTTGCGAAAATGCTGATGTGTATGTACGGCGCGTATGCGACATGCATGTGTACATGCACCTGTGTATATGTGTAGGTAAGTACAAGTGTAAGTCTGCATGTCTATGTATGTACATACATACATACATATATATGTATACATATGTATATCATAAAAGAGTGCATATGCAAACTCATGTTGCCAATGTGCGTGTGCTTCTGCGTATGTTAGTAAGCAAGTAATTAAACATGTATGTATGTATCTCTGTATGTATCTATGTACGTACACGTGTACATGTAAACATCATGTAGATAGACAGTTGTACATATGTATATATATATATATATATGTATATACATATGTGCCTACGCTCTTACATGTATACGCACCTTACACTGGGTTCACTCTGTAAAAGGCCAAAAGGCTTCGGCCTGTAAGTTGTTTCACAGAGCGTCTTGGCCTGTTCAAGGCTGTAGTTAGTAAGGTTGAAGGCTTACCTGCACTTTAAAAGTTTGTCGTGGGTGCTTTGACGTGTTGACAGGCTGCTTTTCTGTTAGGTTCGGCTTCTCATGCCCGCATCCCTCTTGAAAGGATTTTGCGGTACAAACATCACTCTGAAGGGCACGGCTTGTGAATGGTTGTGCATGGTTGCCATGCAGAACTTGCATATCATTGCATTATTGCATTGTCTAGTCATACTAGCTTGCTCGGAATTCACCACGGTCAGACCTCCGAGTAAAAACCCTTATAACCCTATCTAAACCCCTCGACCCTCTTGGCTCTGAAGGGCTGGGACTTCACGGGTAGAACTCGACCAGGTAGCGTGGGTTTCGGCAAAGAGCAGTTGTAAATTTTAGGGTTCATAGGGTCCTAAACCCTATATAAGCCCGAAGCATACCTAAGCAGTAGAATGCTGACATGGCAGCACCAAACTCGACGAATACCCTTGCGAGACTTTTGACCTCTGCAGAGAGATGTGTTTGGCCGATGCTGAAGGCCCTGCGAAGGAATCTGGGTTCTTAAACAGTCTCAGGGAGCTCATTCAATTTTGTGTAGTAAGGATACACAATGCTCTCTACCGCGCTGTCCTTGCTCTGGTATCCTTGAACTAGTGACTAGTTTCTTTCACAAGATCCCAGGGGTTCGCCGGCTCGATGGCGAGGAGATCGCCCCCAAGCCACCAGCCAGGGTTCAAGAGCTTGAGGATGAGATCTACAAACAGCATGTCTGGACGAATGGAAGGAAGAGTGGAATACATATGCGCACGCACACATCGTACACAAACACCGAAGTGCTTTCCGCAAAGATGCATGTCTGCATTTATAAAGCTACACGCAAAAACTACAAACACTGTGGCGCACGCACACACGCACGCACACCAACACCGACACGCCGACCAAGCCACACTCGCCCAATCCCACACCCACACCGACCCACGCACCGACCGCCCGCCTGCCCGCCACCCCGCCCATGCACCCGCCGCCCCCAAACATGCAGACAGACGGACGGACAGACAGACAACCAACATCAACCAACCGGATGTGGTCAGGCACGCAAACACGTGCACACACACACACACACACACTCACAAACAGCTGCGTACAAGAACAAGACGTCGCACTCTCTCATGCACACCCACACCTGCACACCTACATCTACGTGACGGGAATTTTCAAGAGAGAAAGTCAAAACAAACAGACGTGACATGCATACTTCCCCGCGAGGCATTCCCCTGGCTGGTCACTATGCTGGACCTTGCATCAGTCGGAATTGGATCACATGCAGCCAGGGAGAGGGCAGGTGACATGGCGACCGCCTCAACAGAAAAGCCGTGTAATTACGTTGCATGAAACATCATGGAACCGTTAAGCCCAAAACTCACGACTGACATTCACGCCTGTACCGTGTCTCCCCCCTATAAGCCATAGCCAGGCAATGCCCAGCCGCGACAAAGGACGGCAAGGCTCTTCTGCCAGGAAGACGAGCACAATCACCGGAAGCATGGGGATTCTAGGATTCTAGGATTTCTTAGTAAGGCTGATCGGCTTAATCTCTTCATTTGCTCACCTCGTCTTGGCCACCCAAGACATGAGATGTGCTGAAACGACTGGGAGGATGGAACGTCGAATCACTGGGGTTGCAGCTTTCGTGCTGCCAGCTGACATGCAGCTATGCTTGAGACTCACGTCAAGATTTGAAAAATCCTGCAGGTGTCTGCCTCATGCCTGAGAAGCAAATTTGGAGTTTATGATCATGCAAACATGGATTCGGCAGAGGCAAAGGCAGCAGCGGGCGATCTTCCAACGAACCCGGGACCACCAGCGCATCTTCTCCTTGATGGCTCGCAGTCACCGGGATGTACTTTGAAACAGGAAGACGAGCCTAAGGTCT